GCGCGCTAACCTCTACGTTACGGGACTCCACTATAAATAGCCAATTACACACAGCTGCTGCTGTTATTATTATAAGTTATTATTAGTAATAGTTATTATTGTCTTCGAGCCTTACAAAAATCCCCTTTAATGTTTTATCTGCCCTCCACGTCCATTTGCTGTCAAGCAAGTTCCTCGGATGGGTGATGACAAGGTTCCCATTGTAGCTGATCCATGATCAGTTGACGGAGGCTATGATTTTATGGTGCCTTGAGGTAATGCAATGTACGTCTGTGGTTCATTTCAGACTGAAAGCACAATGCTTGGTTTGTGTGAAACAGCACCGTATTGGGTTGTCAACCACTCCTGACCTTATTGCTGGGACACAGCAACCGGGGATTGAGCTAATGCAGCTCGTGATGAGTTAGTAATTTGATTGTGTGCAGAATGAAGGGTGGTTTTCTCTCTCTCTGTGGGAACACTAGGCAGCACAATGCGAAGGAATGCCACACACATTTACTGCTATCCTGTGGAATTAAAGGAAAATGCCACGTGAAGGAAATGTGAAAGAGTAGGACGGCCCAAAGTAATCACAACAACAATAAATAATAATAACGATGATGATGATATTTAATTTTAAAATTATTTAATTGCGCGCCTTATCACACTTTAGAATAATTATTTCTCACTGTAGCGATGGATTTTTACAAACAAATTTGCACACCGCGATGCTCCGCAAACAACAACAACAAGTTGCATTTACATTTACAACAACAACAAGTTGCCCTTCACACAGGGCAGCGTCTCGGAACACTTAATAGTGGCGGAGCCTGATGCCGGGGGCCTGGGGGGGGAGAAAGAACGCAGGGCAGGATGATAAGGCTCTGAATCTAATACAAACAGCCGTGAGTCAAATGATCAATTTTATCTGGAGGATTGTCGGCCAGGGCACCAGGAGAAAATACCTTTGCTTTTCCGTTTGTTCTATGGGAACCACCTGAGCAGGCAGACGGGACCTCAGTTTAACGCGTCATCCAAAAGATGGCACCTCCAACATACTCTCCCACAAATAAAAAGTTTTACACAGCCGTGCTCAACAAACAGCCAATGATCATTCACTCCTGGCTGTTTGTTGAGCACGGCTGTGTAAAAATTTGGCTGTTATGTTTGCCAACAATTACACCGTCGCTATACGTTACAGTTAATCTTGTGAAGAACTTTGAGACATCTTGACCATGTGATAAGTGTGCTCTACAACAACAACAATTTGCATCGATATAGCGCCCTTCACCCGGGACTCTATCAAAATGCAAGGATTATTGATTACAATGGTGACGTTTTATGGTCAGTAGCATGTCTGACACAGTGATGTCTGCGAAAACAGCTTGTAAAGAGATATAATAATAATAATCCTTGCATTTGATATAGAACCTGATCACATCATCAAGATGTCTCAAAGCGTCTCACAGAATATACTGTTAAGTGAATTGACTGTATATTTTCTGGGAGAAACACGGCAGCTAATTGCACACTGCAGTGTCCCACAAACAGTCGTGGATTGAGCGACCAAATTATTATTATTTTTTTAAGGGATTATTACCCCCGGAAAAGCAAATGGCCAGTCAACTGGCAACTGGGTTCCTACTTACTGCTGGGTAAACAGAGGCCTGTGGAGTAAGGAAACTTGCCCGAGGTTTCGCCCTGCCCGGGAATTGAACCCAGGTCCTGAGACGAGTGCTCTAACCACCAAGCCACAGTGCAAACGTTGAATGTTCCATGTATGTCACCGACACACAGAAATTTACATGGTTGGAATGGAACGCGCACTTCCTCCCCGGAGGCACGTATCTTGCTTATCTAATTCTGGATGAATGTGGAGGAAAGCGGGTGTAAATGGGATGCGTGGAGACTGTCTGCCTGTGGGAACTGTAACCTTCCAGCTTCATTTTACGTTGAGAGGAATCTGCGAGACTGGTTGAATTTCATGAGGAAATGTGAGAGCCTTAAAATGTTAGAGCTTCAGAGAATCACCTGCTGATGGATTAGCACTTAACCTGATCCTTTGGGGCTATTTTAGCCCTGCGACATGCAGTCTAGACAGGTTGAGTTGTCTTTAGTGTATTGCAAATGTGTATCAGAACACAAAACTGTACCTATTGGTAGACTAAAGGCAGTAAGACCACTTTACAATGCACTTCTTTGTAATGTAGATTGACTTAGTGAGTGAGTGCCCTGCGGACTTCCCACATGCTAATAATTGTTTGACTTCAGGGTCATCGGGTCACCATTGATGTGGCAATACATGGCCAATCTTACGCACTATATTGTGTTGTGCATTTAAATCCCACCCCTGTGCTCTCACCCCACCTTACCTCTTCAACCTCCTAGCACCACCCTGGGTGTTCCTTTTGCTCAGCAAGTACCAGCCTGCTTCATTTCTCCCTCCACCACCCGCTCTCTGGATCTCCATCTCAGATTCCCTTTGACTCACTCCCTCGCTCGCCTCCTTCAGGGTCCATAATAATACTATATAGAATATTCAGCTCGTCCCAGAGTGTGTTTACAATGAATGCCTCATGTGGTAATAATAATAATCCTTACATTAGAGGATTATCATTATTATCAGATAGAGCATCTTTCACTTCGGGAGGACGTCTCAAAGCGCTTGACAGGTTATGCTGTAAAATAGAGTCATGGATTGTCGGGACTGTTAGTTTAAATTCCCAACGCAGGCGTTTGAAGCCTCAACCGTCTGACTCGAGAGACATGAGTGCTGCCAACCGAGCCAAGCTGACACACTATATTACTGGAATTCTTTTCGTTGCACGCTCTGGCCATCGACTTGGCTTGTCCACACGGAAATTGAGAGCAGTTTATGCAGTTGACCTTGATAGTGTTTTCAGACGTCCCCCGGATATGCAAGACATTATATAAATGTAATTAAACTGTGCGTATCGGAATTGGGTTGAAACTGCCCCAAGTTCACTTCAGGTCAGAACCTTTCTGTCTTCAACAAGAAGCTTCTAATCCTGCGTCTCTGGATCTGGATTCAAACCCCGAGCTCCAGGTGCTGCTCGGTCCCCAGATGGCGAGATGCAAAGTTAAAAAAAAGTTTGCGAAATTGTTTTCTCTTAAACGAGATCAGGGAAAAGGGGGCAAATGTGTGGCTCGATTTGTCATTCAGTGTGGACTTTAGGTTAGAGTTTGTGTGTGTTCGTAGCATGTTGTGTTTGCACATCATAGCAACAATATAATGACAGTCCAATTTATGGGCGATCTTAAAAGGTATAAATAAATTGCATGAATGACTTTTCACGCCCACCTCTTTGCTTGTTTCAGGCTGAATCACTGTTGGTGACTGTTTTGGTTTGTTGGCTCACTCCAAGGATTTCACACTCTCTCTGTTTGCCGTGTTTTATCTCGTTGCTAATCAAACATTTTCCAAGATGTATATTGGGACTTTGGGGGTGTGGGGGGACGGGGGAAGACATGCACATGCTTCAAATAAAGGAAGCCTCATTGATTGAAGTAGAACCATGGCTTAATTATCATCATCATCACATTGATGTATAATGATACAGTGTTTGCATTTGATATAGCGTCTTTCACATTGAGAGGAAGGATTCACAGGATTTAATGTCAAGTGTAGTGACTGTGTATATTGCAGGCGAGCGATGGTTCCATGTCGATTAGCCGCTGCATTTTGCCTATGTAACGTGTACTCAAACGCAGTGCCGGGGAACGCTGCGTTAAGCGCTCTGGGACGCTACCCCGCGTGAAGGGCACTATACAAATACAAGTTGTCGTTGTTGTTGCACTGTTGGACCCTGCCGTCCTTTGTATGAGACGTTAAAAATGAGATCCCACCTGCCTGTTAAAGATCCCATGGCGCTCTTCGAGAAGAGAAGGGAGTTTCTCCTGGTGTCCTGGCCAACAATCCCCCTTCCCTCCCTCTCCCAAAACAATTGCTTTTCACTTCATAGCTGTATGTGGGACATTGTCGTGTGCACATTGGCTGTTGTGTTCGCCTACGGAAATATACACAATAACTGCAATCTACAGAAAAACAGCTTCAATGTCCTCCCGACGTAAAAGGCGCTATGCAAATGTAATTTTGTTGTTGTTTATTCCAGTAACACCAATCGATGCCTTAGCCCAACAACCATTCTCTTCATTTAGTTAGTGTTGTAGCCTATGGGGACACCTGAAAGGTGGTTTAGTGGATACTGTTGATTCAAGCCCTTCCCTGAACCCTATGGTAACAATACTGCCAGCATTTGCTTTTAGGGAGACTGTTCATTGCCTCCTGGGAATGAACTCAGTCCCAGTCTAACCAACATCAACACCACAGAGACAGTGTCGTGCTGGCAGCAGTGTTGCAGCTGGTGAATATTAACACAAACCCTTTCACCCCAACTTGCAAATTGATCGATCACTGCTTGTGGGACAATGTTGTGTTCAAATTGGCTGCCGCGTTCGCCTACAAATACAGTCACTACACTTTCCAGTGATTTCTGTGACGCCTTCACCCCAGACGGTGTTTCCGAGCGCTTAATGCATACCTTAATAAGTCAGTCTGGCTCAGTTGGAAGCACTTTCGCCACCGAGTTAGAAGGTTGTGGGTTCAAGCCCCACACCCCACCACCCCCCGCCTGGATGTGAAAGATCCCACGGCACAATTCGAAAAGAAAAGGGTGCTTCTCCTGGTGTCCTGGCCAGCAATCCCCCCAAATTTGGTCAATCACTCCCTGGCTGTTTGTGGGACATTGCTGTGTCGAAATTGACTGCCGTGTGTGCCCACAAAACAGACACACGTTATAGCAACAACAACCGTGCATTTATATAGCGTCCTTCAAGTGGAGTAGCGTCCCGGAGTGCTTACAGTGTATTCTGTGGAGCGCTTTGAGATGTCTCGATAACACGCTGAGGCGCTGTATCAGATGCAAGGATTATTATATATGATATTATTATAATAATGCACGATTCTGAAAGAGTAACAGTGTCTCTCTTTTCCTTTCCAGTGAGTACACCATCACGGCCACGGGTCTGACAGAGATCAAGATGAACGAGACCGAAGGCATCAGTGAAGACGCCTCAGGTAGACATCATTCTAAATGACGCTCGCGAACCCAAGATACTAACACATGTTGACGTTTAGCCCTTTATCCTTCAGCAATTTTTCAGTTAGGCATTACTTTGAGGGGAGGCTCAGGCCTAGAATAAAATTGAAGCATTTAATTTTAACCGTCTCGCCCATAAAATACCCAGTCAATTCACTTGACAGTATATTCCGTGAAGCGCTCTGAGACTTCTCGAAGACGTGATAAGGCGCTATGTCAAATGCAAGGATTATTATTATTATTCCGATTCTATTTTAAGAGAGTTTTGAATGGCCTTAAGAGAACAAAATAAAACTCTTTTTGAGTTTTAGCTTTCAAAAGGGAACGAGATAAATACCTAAAAGGGAGTGAGCTACGGGGGGTAAGGGAAGGGGCAGGTAAATGGGATTGGAAGGATTACTCTTTAATGAGCTGGCACTGACATGCTCATTTTCCTCGTTACCCGTCCTCAAATGCTTGTTGAACCACAGTTTGGACCAGAGGCGGAGACCAGGTCAAACAAGGATGGGTTTGGAGGGGAGGAAGAGAGAGAGAGAGAGAGAGAGGGGAAAGCTTCTTCCTAATGACTAATTCTGGGCATTTTCTGACAGCAAAGAGATTGCTACTTGCTAAATAGTTCTATCAAACATTAGAGGCCACAAACTCCACTGTGTTTGTAACGTCTTTTAATCCTATCTCCCACATGATGGGTTACATAAGTGTCATATAGAAGATAGGATTAAAATGGCATGTCCCCCCCCCCATTATAACACACTTCACTTGAGCACAAATTTGCTTATAATACGTTGCACTTTTTTAAAAAAAAGCCAACTTGCAGATCATTGGCAATATCATTTACTGTTTTGCACAAGTGCAAGAAACAGAAAGTGATGTTGGTGGTGACCTAATGATTTTTATGGATCCCAGGCACTGTGTGGTAACGGGCTTCCCTATAACAACAACAACTTGGATTTATATAGCGGACTTTACGCCGGACGGCGTCTCGGTGCACTTAACAGTGGCGGAGCCCGATGCCGAGCCAGGGGGAGGGGGAAGGTGACCATAGGCGCGATCAAAGAGGAGGGTCTTTGGGCGCGACCTGAAAATGAGGAGAGGGGGGGTAAGTCAAAGGAATTGAGGGAGAGAGCTCCAGCTTTGGGGCGTAGCGGCTGAATGCACGGCCGCCGATGGTGGGGCAGACGGGCTGAGGGGACAAGGAGGAGGCCGGAGTCAGTCGAGTGGAGGCAGCGGGTACTAATGTAGGGAGCGAACAGGTCGGAGAGATACGGTGCCAGGGCGTGAAGGGTTTTGAATACAAGAGTGAGGATTTTGAAATCGATCCACTCTGTGCCCGGTAGCCAGTGGAGTTTGACAAGGACTGGGGTAATGGAAGTACGGAGTTTAGAGTTGTCATTGGAAAGAAAGCTTTTTGCTGGACCATTAGCTACTTTCTTATAAAACCGCCTCACCTAACAAAGGCCAGGAGTCTTAGTTATTCTTGTTTACTCTGTGACACGGTTTTCCCTTAACGCTTCAGAAAAGAAGAAGTCCAAATTCAAATCGTTCAAGAAGCTGTTCATTAAAAGGAAAAAGAAAGATTCTTCAACATCTTCAACGAAGAATAATTTGAAACAAAGCCAGTCGACCAGTGATGTCACGTTTCCTGAGTCTCACATTCAAGAATTCGACTCAGAGACTGAATCAAGGTAAGAGTTTTTCTGGGCAATTCCTGTCAATTTGGTAGCAATTAGCTCAGTTGGTAGTACTCTCACCTCTGAGTCAGGAGGATGTGGGTTCAAGCCCTGGGTTGTGACTTTGAACTCACATTGTCTAAGATGATACTCCAGTGTGGTGCTGGGAGTCTGCTTCATTGCTGGAAGTGCTGTCCTTTGGATGAGATGTTAAACTGAGGTCCCGACTGCCTGTTCAGGTGGATGTTATGTCGGGAATTGTTAGCCATGGCATTATTTGAAAAGGGAAGGAAGTTTCTCCGAATGCCCTGGCCAACAATCCCACCATTAAAAATGCCAATTGTGGGGCTTAGGTGTGTGCGAATTGGCTGCCGCACTTACGTATACAATACAGACACTACGCTGCACTGTATATCCTGCGAAGCGCTTTGACGTGAAAGGTGCTTTAGCAAATGGACGGATTATTATTTCCTGTATTATTGTAAGGCTGGGCGCTCATTATGAACACACACTGGTAAATTCTGTGAAGTGCTTTTGAGGCATCCTCCCGACGTGAAAGGGGCAAAGTCTAAATCACAGTTATTGATATGCAAACCATTTGATTATTTAATGATGGTTCAGCCGTAACACGTGGGGGTGTGGATTCAGCTGTAATGGGGCGTGGTGGGTGGGGGGGATAAAGGTGTAACGGGAGGAATTAAATTATAAATGGGGAGACGGATTAAATTGTAATGGGAGGAAGGGAATGGATTAAACTCCAACTGTGATTTGGCAATTGCACAGCATTGTGGATTTGGAGAGGTTTGAATGTGCCTCTTGTGCGAGAGGTTGGGAAAGTAAGATGCTGTTCTCTGTGTTACAAAGCTCCGTTCCCCTCAATTATTTCAGGAAAACAAATTGTTCCTCACAATCCTGACCGTGACATCATATCCGCTGCCTTTGTGTACCTGAAAATATTGTTCTGCTTTTACTTTGCCCTGGATTTGTTTTTTGAAAAACATTCAGCTGTCAAAGATTGTGGGAGAATTTCAGACTTGTTTTGAAAGAGCATTTCCTGTAAACATTTTAGTTGATGGTCTCGGGTTTGAAGGAAGCCTTATTTCAGGTGTCGGCCTGGCTCAGTTGGTTGCAATCTCACCTCAGTTGGAAGGTGTGTGGGTTCACGCCTTGTCAGAGAGGTTCAGAGGATTGACTTGATTCCAGGATTGCAAAATTATCCTCTCTTTATTCGTGCTGTTGCTGTTTTACACGCCAACCCTGCTAAGCGCAGCACTTTGCATTGCACAAAAGATTTGCCAGTTTCTCACAAAGTTGCAAAGAACGTTCAGTCCCCAAGACATTCAGGACGGTCAACATGCCATTAAATAAGTTATACTGTTCAGAGGCGATGGCTGTTTCAACAGTTTAAATTACTCCAATGTACGACCTTGAATGCTCATTGATGATTGCATCACAGTCAATGCAACAGTATCAAAGCGAGCGGATGTTTTGTTTGATTTCAGTCTGCATTTGTTCTTCCTCCCCACCCCACCCCACACAAACGCACACATAATTGGAAACATTATGGTTCATTTGGGTCCCTCCTCAACAGTTGACCTTGAATAAAAGTTCTGTGAAGCTGGGAGAGGCAGCTTTCTCTTGTCTGCTCACAGGTTGCACATAATTCACAATTAATCACTAGTTCCGACGAACTGAGAGTGTCTGAATGTACGTCGCCCAGTCTCCGCAGCAAATGGTTGGGAAACCCCATTGGAATTGAAGAATGCCATGACCCGCGCACAGCAATATCCCACAAACAGCCATGGAGCGAGTGACCAATTTTGTTTTGGGGCATTGTTGGCCAGGACACCGGGAGCAAGAAACTCCCTACTCTTTTCAAATAGTGCCATGGGATCTTTAAGGTCCATCTGAGCTCGGTTTAACGTCTCACCTGAAGGACGGCACCTCCGACAATGTAACAGCCCACCCACCCCAGCGATGCAGTGGAGCATCATCTAAGACTACGTGATTCCAAGTCCTGACATGGGATATGAACCCACAACCTTGTGACTCAGAGGCGAGAGTGCTTCCACTGGCTTGTTCTGCTTTGTTAGATTGAAAAACCTGTTCACCATGACTGTGCCTTTCCTACAATTGTGAAGCTTCCCCCTGAGAGCTTTGTGCACTTGGGACTGCTGTCTGCTATCCCAGGAGCATTCTAAGAAGCTGAGCCGTACAATTGGGGGAGAAATTCCACCTGGGTCTAGATCTTCTCTCAATTTCTTCACAGGATCCGGAATTTGGCAAATTGTTGAATTCTTTCATATCTTCGAAGCTGGCGTTGTAAATTAGATTCCTTTAGAGACACACACACACAGAGCAGAGTGCGATAATAATATAATAATAATCCTTGCATTTGATATAACGCCTTATCACATTATTGAGACTCCTCAAAACGCTTCAAGGGATACACTGTGAAGCGCTCTGGGACGCTATGCTACGTGAGGTGGTGCTATATAAATGCAAGTTGTTGATGTCGTTGTTGAATTGACTGTGTGTTTTGTGGATAGCAGTGTTCCACGAACAGTTGTTATGTTTTTTTGAGCAATTATTTCCCCTGGACAGCGAATCCGCCGTTTGTGTTAATTCAATATTACATTTGATTGCATGTGCTAAAGTTCTGCATTGATAAAAACTGAGGAATCTCCAGGCACCAGTGTGGTGTGCTTCTACTGCGATTAGACAAATCATCAGATTTTGCTCAATTATGGCTCAGTCGCGCTCCATGCATCATAGAGTTTAACTTGTAGTATTTCTTAATCGGATTCTTTAACTCAGTCTGATGCAGCGCTCAATGGGTGGTCTACGGGAGGCAACTCCAATGGCAAGTGGCTTCAGGTATCACTGGCCCTGTGTCCTGGCCAACAATCTCCCAGAGAGAAACAAAATTGGTCATCCACTTCATGGGACATTGTTGGCTTATTATTTCTCGGCACCAGAAACCTGTAGAAGCAGAATCAGTTGATGTCCCCCGCCTGGTTGGCTCTGGCCTGCTGTTGGTCCTTCCTGTCCTCTGTTCCATCATCGGCGGCCAAGCTTACAGCCACTATGCCTCGAAACTCTGGAACGCTCTCCTTCAATCCCTCTGCTTTGCCCCATCCTTCCTCAATACCTGCTTCTTCTAAAACTCAAGAAGCAGACCTTTGGGACGTAGTGGGCAGGCTGCTTACTCACAGTCCATCGGTGTTCCCTCAGATGTTCGGTTCCCACAACACACATTGATTCTTCCGCGTGTTGGTAATGGAACAAATTACAGCATCTCTATTGTTGACTCTAACAACAGTACGTGATGGTAGCCATCGCCCTGCTGTAAATACTTGTTTTGTTTGTTTCCTATTGCAGTGCTCCTAAAGGTATCATGGGAATCAGAGCCTTCTCACACGACAGTATCTTCATCCCAGACACATCTGTGCCAGAGCCTGTGGGGAGCAAGCAAGTGTTTTCTCAGGAGAATGTATCTGCGCCGATCAGGGCCTTGCAGGTAACTAACAAATAACACCCACACTCTGCAAATAGACGTCATCATTTGGGCAGGTTTGACACGTCATCTGCGCTTTGCAATGCTTCTTTCCGCAGGAATCTTATACACAGAAACCGTAACCTTCCCCATGGCTGTTTCCCGGGATCTTAGCTTCAAGTCCGCTGCCCCCAAAACCTGATTGTGCAGAATTCCTGGAAAATCCTTTTCCCGACTCGGAAAACTGTGCTCCGTGTTGAGAGATTTCTTTCTTTTTTTAAAAAAGATCCTTCCTAAATCCTAAACTTTCAAATTTTTTTGATGATCTTTTAATCCTTAAGAAATTGTGGGTTCATAATTTTGTAAGTTAAAGATTTTGCTGCTTCGTTCCGAGCCAGTTGTTGTTTTAAAGTCCTGTAGTCCAGTGGTTAGCGAGCTCGCCACGCAAGCGAGAGGACCAGATTTCATTGCTGTAGTGTTTCCACCTACAAAATAAACAATCGATCCACTTCTCGGTGTATTCTGTGAAGCGCTTCGGGACGTCTCAATTACGTGATAAGACGCTGTTTCAAATGCAAGGATGATTATTATTCATTTAATTCCACTGGTTTGTTCCAAGCTGCAGAGGGGCTGTTGTTGTTCAACATCTTTCTGGAGACGGCAGTGTATAATGTGGAAGCAGTGGAGAAAGGAGTTGTGTTATGTAAACTGTGTTGTTTGTAGCACCCCCTTGTTAGCTTAGTTCACCTGTACTGCTCCTACCCCATGTGTAAGTTACAGTATTACTGCTCCATGTCCCCCGCTCTGCCTGCTTCACCATTTGCATCCGGACCTTCAGTTTTTCCACCTCCACCCTCTGGAACTTCATCCGCAAATCCCTCCACCTTGCCCCCTCCCTCGCCTCCTTCAAGACCTGTCTCTAGACCTTCCTCTTTGACCGTGCTTTGGCCACACTCCCACCCCCATTGTAATTATGCCCTGATCTTGAGACGGGTCTTGAAGGAGGCGGAGGAGGGGGCGAGGTGGAGGGAGGGGGCGAGGTGGAGGGAGGGGGCGAGGCAGAGGGAAGGGGCGAGGTGGAGGGAGGGGGTGAAGCAGAAGGAGTTGCAGAAGGTGGGAATTCGGGGAAGGAATTCCAGAGGGTAGAAACTCTTTCTATATATAACCCACTTGTTGTGAACCAACTCAACTCCTGATGTTTCTCCTGGGATTCTGCTGGGAGCAACGGGTTTGTCCTATTCGCGTCCTGCGAGTGTTAGTAATGGAAATTTTGGCAGTGCAAGTGTGGAACTTTTTCCACGAAAAGGCTGTGGATGTTGGGTGGATCCGTTCAAATTTTCAAGACTGAGGTTGGATCGATTTTTGCCCGTCAGGATATCAAGGGATATAGGGCAAAGGAGGGTAATTGGAGTTGAGATACAGATCATGATCTAATAGAATGGCGGAACAGGCTCGAGGGACTGAATGGCCTATTCCTGTCACAAGGTTCCTATGTAATGTAGCCAAGGCTTTTGCAAGAATAAGGAGAGGTTTTATTTTGGAGTCACCAGGATGGATGTGTTATTGACAGCGCAGGATAAAACACAGCCTGGATCAGTTGGGAGTTTCATGTAACCTGGATCAGTTGCTTACTGACTTACTGGCCACATTGCAATGGTATGATTTATGACGTAGAGCAACGTATCTCCAGAGGATGTGTTCAGCTGCAAGATACGGTGGTTTGCTGTAACTAGACCACTTGCTCTATAGTCCGGAACAATTATATTCACCTCAATCCATATGCATGCTGCTCTTTTCTTTTCTCCTGTAGGGAACTGCTAAATCCAAGAGCTTGCACAACTACACGCCCAAAGGATTACTTAACCCTGATATTTTCAGAGTCAACAGTAGTAGATTTAAAACAAAAGCGCATTTAGCACTGGAATCCCAACGCAAACTCCCTCTGACTTCATGGAATCCTACTACAGCTCTTTGAAAGGGCTACCAACTAGTCCCACCGCCCGCTCGTTTCCCATAGCTTTGCAATTTGTTTCTTTCCAAGTAAATGTCCAATTCCCTTTTGAAAATTATTATTGCATCTGCTCCCACCATCCTTTCAGGGAGTGCATTCCAGATCATAGCAACTCGCTGTGTTAAAAATAAATCTCCCCTCTGGTTCTTTTGCCATAGCTACTTGCTCAACCCCCCCAGTCTCCATCCCCTCTAGAGCCATGTATCTTGTACATTAAACCTCTTCGACCATGCTTTCAGTCATCCAGATTTTGGTCTGTGTGGCAAATGGTCAGGAGTTACCAAAGTCAACCTTATGAAGACCACAGTGCTTACTGACTTACTCACATTGTAATGGTATGATTAATGAGTGAGGGCAAAGGGCAAGGTAACTCTAGGTGGGTGTGTTCTGCTGCAAGATTTGGAGGTTTGCCATAAACAGAGCAATTTAACACTTGCTTTGTCGTCCGTCCAGCAAAATCCCTGTATCCTGTTGTTAAACGAGAGCCTATCACTGAACAACCAACAACAACAACAACAACTTGCACTTATATAGCGGCCTTCACTTCGAATGGCATCGCAGAGCGTTTAATGGTGACGGAGCCCGATGCCGAGCCAAATCACTGAAGGCTGGAAACTTAACAACACCAACAAATTGCATTTGTGTAAAGCCTTTCACATCGGGAAGATGTTGTAGAGCGGTGGACAGTCAGGGATCTGGACCCGAGCTGGGGGTTGGGATCAGGAGGGGTGGAAGGCAGGGAGGATAGTGGTAGGCATTTAAGTCCTTTTGATTCCATTCGTCTCTTATACTTAAATCTAATACAGAATTTATACAGCTCTCTTAAGAATAGAGATTCCAATTATTTTCCAGCTGTATGAAAACGCTGATTGAATAGAACATGGATTAGACAGAAGGACCTTGAGGCAATGTTTGTTTTGATAACTTTCGTTCTTATATAAAAGGAAAACTCGCTGTGTAACTACACGGTTATGAAAGGCAAGACAATTAGCTTTACATAGCAAGAAAGGTTGAGAATTGATCAGTATTGTGGTTATCGATCTCCTGCTTGCTGCTTGTTAGAATATTTGGGGGGACTTTGTCATGTTTAGGTCAGTGCTTTGGCGTTTACCAATGTTGACTTGTACCTTCCACCCGCCTGACTCAGTTGCTAACACACTTGCCTCTATATTATAATGACAATAACATTTGCATTTGATATAGCATCTTATCACATTGTTCAGACATCTCAAAACGCTTCACTAAATGTACTGTAAAGTGGATTGACTGTATATTTTGTGGGTGAATCGCATCAGCCAATTGCACCCAGCAGTGTCCGATAAACGATCATGGATTGAGTAACCCCCAAAAAATCAATGCCCGTATGAATTGTATTTAAAATGTATATTTCCTTTTTTCTATTCATTACAGTTAAAAGTTCAGCATAATATTAAACTGGGACTTCCTTCGTCAATCGCAGCAAAGAGAATGGAAGATCCTGGGGTTAGTTCTGAAGACGATGGGTTACCTAGAAGTCCTCCAGAAAGCTCTCCACTACATGAGATCCTAGCGCACAGCTCAGTAGCCAAGGTACCTGCATCTCGAGATTAAATAACAATAATAATCCTTGCATTTGATATAGTGCCTTTTCACGTCTTCTGGACGTTTCAACGCTTCACAGAATATGCTCTAAAGTGAATTGACTGTATATTTTGTGGGCGAACTGCAGCAGCCAATTGCACACATCAGTGTCCCACAAACAGTTATGGATTAATTTATTATTATTATTATTTTTGAAGGAATTCTTATCCCCGGAAAATTAACAGCACTCATGATATTAGCTAGTTACAATAAACTGCTGATAACTTGTCTCTCCGAGGAAAAAGGGCTCAGCGATGAGTTATCCAGATTGGTGAGTTACGTATATGGATAAATACATACAAATTTGAGAATTCCATACATTCCACCTATACATTGAAAATCCAGAGATATTTATTGGAATGGAATGTGAACTCTCTCCCTGGAGGGACTCATGCTGCTTATCTGATTCTGGAAAGTTTTAGGTGCAGGTTGGCAAGAGCCAAGGCTTGGGGATCCCAGAGTACATGTGGGGATACTGCTTGAGTCTAACCAGCTAAAACAGCATAGCTTGCCATTGATATTACTCATTGGCAAGTTTTCCCACTGCTTATCCAGCTCGGACCATCCTACCCATGGGGGGAGTGAGGGGGGATCCTAGCTGGGGGAGATAAATACATCAATAAATGGTCCTGGGATTTTGGCATGATGGCCCCACTGCCTGTTTAGATGGACGGTAAAGATCCCATGGCTCTACTTGAAAAGAGAAGGGAGTTTCTTTGGGAGGGAAGGGATTTTACTTTTTGTGTCCTCCCAACACACACACACACACACAATCCAAAGGAGTCCAAGGCTGTGCTGATGGCAGACTAATAGATAATGCCGATGTTTATACATCACACAAATCTTCACCCATTCCTTACTCCGTCCCATGCTCTTCTATTCCCCTCTCCCTCATGTGAAGGTCTAGCTTCCTCTTGAATGCATCTACACTATCTGATTCGACCACCACTTCAGGCATTTTCCCCCTCTCCACACCCTTGGTTCCCATTCCCATCTCAAATTTCTTATGCACCAGAATTGGGTTATTGCCTCAATTTATTGCACTCCACCCCCCCTCCCCCCCACCCAACCCACCCTCCAGCTCCGATGCCCAGCCAGCAATGTCCTCCCACCCCGAACAGCTTATAAATTGTATTGCATTGATTCTCATTCATTCCCTCAGAAGTATACGTGCATGTCTCTGTGTGTTAGCAGCTACTCGTAAAAATACCAGCACTCCCAATATTCCCAACCCTGAGGGAAAAACTCATCATCTCTCTGACTGAAGGGATGAACTTGACAGACCTGAGCATAATTAATGTTATATTTGTAAAGGCTCATTTAATGCAGATGCTTATCAAAATGTAATTTACAGACAATCGGTTAGACACTTAATAATACTCTGCTGTTATGTCTCCTATTATAGGAATCTATTGCAAACCTATTGCCCCCATCCTCACCTGATTACCAATCCCCTAGCGGATTGATTTCAAGATCCTCATCCTTGCCTTCAAATCCCTCCACGGGTTTGCCCCATGCTACCTCTGTGATCTCCTTAAACCTGACCAACTTGGCTGCTCCCTTCACTCAACGGGCACCTGCCTGCTTCATGTTCCCACACTCCCTGCCCTACCACAGGAGATCGGGCTTTCAATCTATCCTTCCACTCGCCTTGAAAGGGGCTATGTAATAAAAATATATAATAATCCTTGCATTTGATATAGCGCCTTAACCCATCGTCAAGTCGTCTATCATGCCTGTGCGTCCAGTATAAAAGTTCATGTTATCGGTTGCTCCTTCGCAGATGTATGCAGGATCGGGCTGCAGGCCAAACAGCCCCCACTCTCCGGTCTTTCGGTCAAGGACGAGTTCTGGGTCTCTGAGCCCCACGTTGATGTTGATTCCGATCTCGCCTTCCGACACCTCTCTCCCCTCGCCCACGGCGGATTTCAGCTCCCCAGCTGTGTTCACCACCTGCCTGGACACTTCAGCCGCAAGGCACAAACTCGCAGTGAAACCTCGAAACCAGCGGTCCACAAGTAAACAGAGAAGGCATTCAGTAAGTCTTTTCACAGCAGGTCTTCCGTATCGCTTCAGTCTAATGAGTCAAATGGGAACGGAGGAGGCACCACCCCTCGCTCTTCTGCTGGGCGGGAAGAGAACTTCGGTTAACCTCGGACCCTGTTTAAGCCGGACAAAATGGCCAGCATCGGGGTGTCGTTCTTAAGCAGCTTCCACTGTATTTCCAAAATGTATCTATTTTTAAACCTTCAGAAGGGTTTCACATAGAACAGCACGAATGAGCCTCCACTCTTCCTGTTTCCAGCCTTTCCCTCCTATACCCCTTGCCCTTTACATACAATTACATTTCCTCTTAGAACAAAATAAATTTAAAGCACCAACGAAGGTCATTTGGCCCATTGTGTCTCTACCAGCTCTTTTAAAAAGCGATCCTTTCAGTCCCATGGATTTATTAGAAGCCTCTCTTCCTATTCTCCACGCAATACAATTTACATCTATACAGCTCCTTTCACGTCGAGAGGACATCTCAAAGTGCTTTACAGTGCTGGGTGGGAGGGTGGGCTGAGCTGGAGGTGGGAGCCAGAGTGGGGGGATGGTCAATGAAAAGGTGGGAGTTGAACCACCTTGGTAAAGTAAATGAAAGATTGACATTGTTTCTTCCCCCCCCACCCCCCCAATTCCCCAAACCAATACCCTGGAGATGGAATGAGTCTACCAAATTGATCACTGATTTGCTCACATTTTGTTACAGAAACCACTGTCTGGTAGCGTGAGCGAGTTGATGTATCCCTTGTCTGAGAAGGAAGAGAAAAATGAAGAAGAAATGAGGGAGGAGGTTGAGGAGGTGACTGCTGCTCCTGAAATAAACGTCATGCGCATAGCAGAAAGTGGTATTTCCTCTGTGGTACAGATTCCACCTGAGGTGGCAGTGTCAAGCAGCCCAGAAGCTACAGATGTTTTAGATGAATATTCGAGTGAGTCTTCCAGCCTAGATGTCACGGAACAGCAAGATACAAGTGCCTTGCTTAATGTTGCTGATGCCAGGACTACTCATCGATCCTCTATACCTACATTTGGACCAGAGACTGAAGATGATGTCACGTTAACGGAGTTTGAGTCACCGGAGGTGAATGTTGCACATAATCCACAAGTGCTTGATATTGTGGATCCGATGATACTAAGGGAAGAAAGCTCTCCTTGGGAAGCTGACGTGAAGTCCACAGTGCATGAGGTCCATTCTTGGTCTTTGCCTGTTGACCCATCCTGGGCGAGCAAGACTGCGTGCCTAGCGAGCTCCACGTTGCTCTCAGATGCTTCAAGCCCATTGTGTTCTGACTCTGAGGATCAGTCAGGCACCTCTGCGGTTAAAGAACTTGATGACAAGGACTATGTGGAAGAGAGTTTACCTGTTTACAGGGTACACACAAGAATGGCAGCAGCACCCACAGAACCATTTGTTTTGGAAGCCTGTTCAACCAGGCAGGAGGCATCGAAACACCAAACGCCATCTCCGATAGAGCCTGAAATATTCAGCCGTGTCACGTTGACTTGTGCGTCTGAGGTGTGCGTCCGAGATGAAGAAATGGTGAGAGCAGTGGCTTCAGAAGGCATTCCCAGCAATGAGGAGGATTCGGAGATCACAGTGTTCAAGGAAACGAATGCTAAAACCTCAGAAGACACACCCGCAAGCCAGCAGCAATCATTATGGACAGGAAGCCAGAGCTCTTTCAAATTCTCCATCACCTCCGCTAGGAATAGGAGCGGCCGACGCAGCAGTGGGAAATGGATTGGAGATGAGCCGGTGGGAAATGCGGACAAGTTAGAGCTTTCTCAGAAGTCCAACGCTTTGCCTAGAGAGGAGGAGGAGGAGGAGGGGAAGAAAGAATGTGACCTGGACATAGCTGTTTCTCGTCTATCTGAGGTCAAAGCAGAGACACATAAACCTGAGCATCAGCTGGAACACAAGCCAGAAAGGTGTGAGAAGAGATGTCTGGAGAAGTTGGTTGAAAAGTCCGCGCCTGAGACATTCAGCAGCCTTCCAAAGTTGCACGAGCCTTCAGCGGACAAGCCTTTCGAGAATGTCAAGGCAGAGGAAGCGACAGAAGGGAAGAGGGAGGAGGCTCCAGGCCTTTTTGGGGTGAAGCTCCGAAGCACTTCTCATTCCCTGAAGTACAAAGAGAGCTCGCATTCTGAGGTGAAGGAGGTGGGGAAGCGACAATGTGCTGAGGTGGCTGTGGATTCTGATGGACCTGTTTCGCAGCCTAAGGTTGAAAAGGAAGACGTCAAAAAGCCACGTACTGTGACGCTTCCCTCCACGTTAAAGGACAATGGGAAAACCAAAGCCAAATCTTCGGAAAACCTTGCCGTGAAGCCACCGTTGCCTAAAAAACCTTCGCTGCAAAACGTCAGCCCGTCTATTCCGGCCCCTGACAAGCTGAGCAAACCAGTCAAGACCACCACTCAGGAAAGACAGAAGGACACGGACAAAAGCATCAGTAAAAGCCCCGGTAAGACCTCTTCTACCCTCTCTGTACTGTTCTGTTAAATATCTGCTCTCATCTGAACAATACTGCAGCAGGTTATATGTGCATGTCAGCCTGCCACAATGGTAGCACTCTCGCCTCTGAGTCAGAAGGCTGTGGATTCCCCATGTTGGAACTTGAAATAATATAACCAAACAAACATGAATATAGTGCCTTATCATGTCGCTGAGGCGTCTCAAAGCCCTTCACAAAATACTGTAAAGTGATTTGACTGTATAATTTGTGGGCCAAACTAAGCAGTCAATTCCACACAGCAGTGTCCCACAAACAGCCGTGGATTGAGTGACCACATTTTTTTCTCCCTTACTCTCATCCAATAACCTCGGTTTGGATCTATTCCTTTGAGGGATCGGGGCTGTGAGCTTACATCTTATCAACAGCAACAGCTTGCATTAATATATCGCCTCTCACTGGGGGCAGTGTCTCAGAGTACTTAACAATAGCGTAGTTTGACACCGAGCCAGGGAGAAAAGGGAGGTGACTGCATGCACGGTCGAAAGGAAAGTCTTCAGGTTTGAAGAGGGGGCGAGGCGGAGAGAATGAGGCAAGAATTAATGACAAGAATAAAGCCATGTTAGAGGTTGCTGAGTATTGAGTGAATATGGAAAAACATCGGGTAGGAAATCAGAAGAAGGAGTCTATTCAGCTCACCAATCCTATTCCAATAGTTTATTGCGTCCTTCTAACCCCCTACCAACCTGCCCTTTCTCTCTGCTCAGCGGGCTCCGGCTTGCTTCACGTCCCCTGCCTCGCCAGCCCCACCTTTGGCGGGTGGGCCTTCTGCTACTCAGCCCCCACCTCCTGGAACTCCATCCCGCAGTCCCTCTGCCTCAGCCCCCTCCCTTACCTCCTTGAAGACCCATCTCAAGACCCTCCTCTTCGACTGTGCCTTGGGTCACCCTCCTTCCCCCCTGCCCTCCACCCTCCCCGATCCCGACCCCCAGCTCGAGTCCGAAACACTGATTGTCCAGCGCCTTGGGCTGTTCTCCTGACATGAGAGACGCTGTACACATGTAATTTTCTTGTTGCTGTTGTTGTTTATTAGATCTTGGCAATCCTTTAATCCCAATGCATTTCTCTTTCATCATCCCATTAATACTACTCAAGTATCTATCCATCTCTCTTTTAAACATCCTTATTGATTCCGCTTGTACTGTTTTCTAGGGCAGAGCGATCCACATCTTCACAAGCCTCTGTGTGAAAAAGCTCTTCCTGACCTCAGTTCTGATTGTCTTAGTTATTGATTTTAAGGCTATGCCCGCTTTATAACAAATCCCTCTGCCAAAGCGTTGTCCACGATCTAACCTGTCAATCCCTTTCATTATTGTAAATACCCCTTACCTTCCTCTTCTCTAAGGAATATAACCCCAGGCTACCCAACCTGTCACAGCTAAGTCTCTTCATCCCAGGCAGTATCCAGTTGCTAGACATCCTCCAAGCTACTGTATCCTTCCTAAGATTGGGTGCCCAAACCTGAGGCCCCGGGTTCGATTCCCACGCAGGGTGAAACCTTAGGCAAGTCTCCTTACTCCACATGCCTCTATTAACCTAGCATTAAGTAGGAACCTGGTTGTTCGTAAATTGCTTTCTGGTGGTAATACAAAAAAAATTTGGTCATTCAATCCAGCACTGTTTGCGGGACATTGCTGTGCGCAATTGACTGCCGGTTTTCACCCGCAAAGTATACAGTGAATTCTGCAGTATTTTCTGTGAAGTACTTTCAAATGCTTTGATGCGCTAATATCAAATGCAAGGATTATTAGTATTAGAATGAATGGCAGCATCCCAAATGTAGCAGCAATTTATATAGATTGGGCAAAGTTCAGTACATCAGTCAAAATGAATGATCACTGAGCAGTTTAACGGAATAATCCATGAAGAAACAACAGTGCCCTAGTGTCAAGGACGACATTAGAGTCAGTCTATGTGACTAGTCAGTCACAGTGCTGTGTTCTGCATTGCTCTGAGCAGAGTCACTGAAGCTCAATTATACTTAGGGACATAGCAACATAGGAATGGAGAAGACATTTAGCCTTTTGAGCCTGTTCCATTATTCTATTAGATTATAGCCGGTTTGTACCTCAACTCCAATTACTTCAGTCAATTGTATTATTGAATGAAATTCAATTAGTTTTCTGAACTTCAGAGGTTGACTGAATGTCAGTCAGTTTTTAGTGCTGAGTTGCTGCCCATCGTGAAGGGAGCTTTATAAATACAAGTTGTTGTTGTTGTTTGTAGTCGTGGTAGTAGAAGACTTGGGCTTCAGCTTAAACCATTAGTTGAACACAGTCAGCCAGTTGATCGTATGTTAGATTGTGTTCTCTGAAATCAAACTTCTTTATTGATTCCCATTTGACGGAAGAGATTGGTAACAGATAATATCGTTTTTGGGGCTGAGCCGGGTGTCTGACACATGCAGAAACCCTTTGCCATGTTTAGTGTAATTCAGAGAGGATTACACACGTATATGTCATCTATACATGGAAATTTTCCTGTAGCTAGAATGGATTGCAACACACTCTTCCCCAGAGGGAGGGATGCAGCCCGCTTACCTAATTCTAAAGGGTATTGGTGGAGGTTGGCAAGAGCCTTACAAGGCTTGGGGACCCCAGAGTGTGCATTTGGATAACAGCTACAGTCTAACCAGCTAAAACCTTGTCATTGACATAGCTTGTCATTGAAAGCACTATCTAGCCTGCCTCCTGCTGCTTGTTCAGCTAGGACCACTCTACCCATCAGGGCTTTGGCTTGCAGTGTTAACAGGAGGAAGCTGAGTGGGAAGCAGCTCTGCCCCCAGTGACCTCTCTGCCCTTCCAAGTGCTGCCAATAAGCCAGTCTGGCTGTGCCATCATCAGCAGTGCCCTGGAGTACTGTGGACCCTCCTGGCTCAGAAAGCTGATGACTGAGACTGCCACAGAGGGTTGACTTGATTCTGACATTCCATTGGCATACATGTCATTTTGAAGTCAGCTCAGCTCTAAGGAGACCCCACGTCTCTCGCCCCACTTCCCCATGAAGCTAGTCATTGCTAACAATCCATTAGGTTTGTAGTTTAATGCGAATTGTCTCTCTGTGCCCACTAATACCAGCTACTTGGAGATGCCAGGGACCCTGATTTTTCTATTGTTCTGTTTGGAGTAGGGGAGGGTGACATTGCTTTCTCTCCTTCCTACTCCCCCTCCAACACGGCTCTGATCAGGAACAAAATTTAAGCCCTCTGAGACGCCGTCCGGCGTGAAGGGCATTATATAAATGCAAGTTGTGTTGTTGACGTAAAACTCCTAGAAGGCTGTGGTTGAAGCAAAGAGCATAATCTATTTAAATGGAAACTTGTGGGCGAAGGGAATAGAGAGGTACAGTAGAGGGGGGTAGGAGAGGTAGAGGCCAGTTTAGAGTATGAAGTTGGCCACCTCTGGGCTGTCAGGTATACAATAATAAATAATAATAATAATAATAATCCTTGCATTTGATATAGCGCTTTTCACGTCAGGAGGACGTCCCAAAGCGCTTCACAGAACACTGTAAAGTGAATTGACTGTATATTTGTGGGCGAACGCGGCAGCCAATTGCGCACAGCAATGTCCCACAAACAGTCGTAGATTGAAAATGACCAATTTATTATTGTTTTTGGTTTTTGGAGGGATTATTATTAGGCTCTGTGTGGAGTAAGGAAACTTGCCCAAGGTTTCGCCCTCTGCCTGGAATTGAACTCAGGTCTCTCACTTGCAAAGCGAGTGCTCTAACCATTGAGCTACAGGACTCCACGACATATGCGTTCACAAGTGATATCACTTCCTTTGCAAAGTGACTTCATCTGCGCTTCCTGGGGGGGCAACCCAAAGGAAGTGATGTCGGCGGCAACCTGATCCACAGAAGCTGGCCATTTTGTAAGCTCAGGAAGCCAACCAGTCATCGCTGGAAGCCAGGTGTATCATGCTTCTGATTAGCGCAGGTCCAAATTACACCTGCGCTCTGAGCAACCCTGTGCTCAAACAGCGCTGGGGAAAGAAGGGTGGAGTGTTCAAATGTTTACACAGTAAATAGTCACTACACTTTACAGTAAATATCGTGAAGCGTTCTGAGGCGTCCTCCTGACGTGAAAGGCGCTGTATCAAATGTAAGTATTATTATTATTATTAATGGGTTTCTCCTGTATTTGGATGTTTATTGGATAAATTTATTCGATTTCTTCCAGATAAGACTGCAGAGGTTTTTTTTCGAGGCAAATATTGTGAAACTCAGAAAGTCTTTATACCTTTTCGTTAATTAATCGAAATAACCGAAAAAAACGGGGCAGTCGAAATAGAAAAATTAACCCTGTCCTCTGGAGGGAAATGGCACTTGAAAGAATCAAACTATGGAATCGGTGTTTAAAAGTGAACCACTGTGGAATTCAAGTGGTTTTAATGACTTTTTTTTAGGAGAGCATTGTTCTGTTTGAATCTGTCGTTCTCAACCTACAATTCATTATCAGGGACCTGATTTATAACAATAATTAATTTATAATAATATTCCTTGCATTTGATATAGCCTTAACTTGTTGAGATGTCTCAAAGTATTTCACAGCATGCATTATAAAAGTGGTGTGACTGTGAGTATTTTGTCGGTGTATTGGGACACATCACATCCTGATGTGAAAGGTCCTATATAAATATAAATTTGTTGTTGTTCTATTTGGCATTATATTCAATGACAACAAAAACTATCCAATTTCATGCACTGCCACCACTGAAACATTTGGTTATATTCTCTGACAAATTGTGTAATCAATGTTTAGGGATTTGAGACACTACCCACGTGAAGGGTGCTACGTAAATGCAAATTGTTGGTCTTGTTGTTTAAGCCGTGGAAGGCACATGACTCAGAATTATAATAATGATTGCATTTGATACTCTGCCTTTCACATGGGGGGACATCTCAAGTGCTTCACGGGATAAACTGTAAAGTAGAGCGACTGTGTTGTAGGGGAACACGGCAGGCAATTCATGCACAGCAATGCCCTACGTTCACCTACAGAAACATACAGTCAATCCACTTGACAGTAAATCCTCTGAAGCATTTTGAAAGTCCTCTCGACTTGAAAAGGTGCTGTATGGAATGTAAAGATTATTTATATGATTGAAAAGGATGACAAACTAAACATCTGCAAACGTTCCCGGTTTCAGAAGACTTTTTTTGCGAGTTCACGATCAGCCGATACAAATGTTCAAAGGGCAATGCATGGTTTAGCCCCTCTGCAGTTACATCCTTAACAAACCCTTTACTCAATGCCCTTCTGCTCGCTCCTCCAAGAAACAATTGTACATTGTGATGTGCTGGTTCTGATGCCTGTGATACCTTGGGATCAGCACCTTGGGATTTCCTCCCGACGTGAAAGGTGCTATAATTTGTCGATATTGGTCTCCTACCCTCGTCAAGTGGTTCAACTATCGAGGAGTCAGACTGACTCAGTTTTCAGCTTAATCATTCTCTCAATTTACCTATGAAGTAAAATTGGGAGCAGGGATTCTTCCCACTTGGCTTCTGTTAACACTGTAACCCCAAAACGCTAATGAGTAGGGTGGTTCCAGCTGGACAAGCAGCGGGAAGCTTGCAGGACTGTGCTCTGGGATGCTCTGAAATGTTACCCTGCATTGCTGTTATTGACTGTGCTTTCAATGTCAAGCTATGCAATTTTGCTGGTTGAGCTCCAGGAGTACCCCAACGCACACGCTGGGATCCCCAAGCCTTGGTTCTCGCCGACCTGGGTCTCTGCATTGTGTCAGAACACCTTTTTTTTAATAAAGAAAATTACTCTGAATGAATCCCATTCCAGCTGTTCTTATTAATTATCTTTCTCTCTCTCTCCAGAAAAAGGGCAACCTCACGTTAAAAATGGCCAGGATAGTGAATCTCCTCCAGAGGGCTCCAGTGTGCCAGCGTGGGTCAGCATGGCCAAGCAGAAACAGAAGGGATTCCAGGTGCAGCACAAAGAAGTTAAATTGCAGGTTCAGGACATCAAAGCCACTAGTGACTGGCAAATCAAAGACAAGGTAATGTGTGCAGGATTACAACAACATTCAACATAGGGTATTTATCCCTTCACAAGTGCATCGAGTGCCATCCTAGACTATGAGCTCAAAGTCCCAATGTGGGCCTTGAACGCACAACCTTTGAGAGCCGTAGAGTAGTGGTTAGCGAGAAGATCCGGGTTCGATTCCCAGGCGTAGCGAAACTGTAGGCAAGTTTCCTTATTCCACACGCCTCTCTCTGTTTACCTAGCAGTAAGTGGGAATCCAGTTATTAGTCGATTGTCAGATCGCTTTCCGGGGGGTAACGATCTCTCCAGAAAAATAATAATAATTTTGGTCATTCAATCCACAACTGTTTGTGGGACACTGCGGTGCGTAATGGGTTGCTGTGTTTCACCCACAAAATATACAGTCAATTCACTTGACAGTATATCACGTGAAGTGCTTGTAAGACATCTCAATCACATGATAAGCGCTATATCAAGTGCAAATATTATTTATTATAACCTTCCGACTTGAAGACTAGGTTGCTAACAATTGAGCTAGACTAACGTAGTAAGCACAGTGAACGATAAACCGAGAGAAAAATCAACTCCAGGGAATAAAGCTGCCCTGTTTGAGTACCGTAAGCTTAGAAAAGTATTTTCAGGGTGTGTTTGGGCAGCCTGTGGTTAACATTCCTATGAACAGTGGAGCATTAGTAACAAAGTCCAAATGAACTGTCACTGTGTTGTGTGTGTGGGGAGGTTTGGGGGGAGGGGGCGAGGGGGTAGATGAGAAAGCAAAGCTAAACAGTACATGCAACCTAAAAATAAATCAATGCAACTTTTCTCTTCACCCCTATATAATAAGACATTTACTGAGAATCATCCACTCAAGTGATAGGTAATAACTCCTTATCTTGCAGTAATACTGGGATTGTTGGTGGTCAGGTCTTGGGGCGGGAGAGAAAAGGATTAGCTAAATCCTATCACATAAAATAACTAGTTTACTCTTTTGACTGGGCCTTCTGCCCCTTTCCCTGATCAAATAGAACTGTTCTGAAATGACACAACATACAATCCAATTTACATTTGTGTTTCACCGCTTTCGTTGGATGGATGTCTCAAATCTCTTTATACAGCTGGCTGTATAAGATATCCTTCTTGAGACGGGCTTTGAAAGTGGGGAGGGAGGGGGCAAGTTGGAAGGACTTTGGGATGGAGTTCCAGAGAGCGGGGCAGAATGGCTGAGCACTCAGTGGGACAGGCAGGGCGGGGGGACAGGAAGCAGTCCTGTGTTCACTGAGCAAAGGTTACAGGGGTAATAATAAAATAATCCTTGCATTTGATAAAGCTCTTCACAGGATACCCTGTAAAATGGATTGACTGCGTATTTGTGGATGAAATGCAGCAGCCAGTTTGCACACAGAGGTAACCCACAAACAGCCATGGAGACCATTTTTATTTGGGAGGTTGGTTGGCAGGACCCCGGGAGAAACTCCGTTCTCTTTTTGAATAGTGCCATGGGAAAATTAACATCCACCTGAACAGGCAGGACCTTAGTTTAACATCGCATCCGAAGGGCGGCACCTCCAACAATGAAGCACACAATGAAATGGGGGGAGAGGACAGGAAGCTAGTGGAGCCCAGTGAGGATGGGGGTGGTAATAGACTCACGGAGACTGGAGCGGGAGAAGACATGGTCTCCAGAATTCTGGATAGTCTGTGATTGATGGTCGTTTCGCGAACGTTCTTTGCTTTTGTGTTGTACGCCTCTGGGGTTGGAAGCTGAAAGCGCAGAGTTTTAACCTGTAGTAAGTGGCCTTGCAAAATCTGAGCTGAGTTTCTGCCTTCTCGTTAATGTGAACTGACTGTGTCAGCCTTAGTTGCCCCAGTCGGTGCAAATTAAACCAGACTCCTGCTTCAAAAGCCGGTGAACACGCAGCTCACCAGCAATGTTCCTTCAGTGAGAAGACAGACTGAGAGCTAGTGGCAGCTCATCTGTTCAGGTGGACATCAAAGATCCCATGGCACTATTCAAAAAGAGAAGGGAGATTCTCTCTCCTGGTGTCTTGGCCCAATCCCCTTGGTGAGCAAGTTTTCCAATCTAACAAAGCAGAACAAGCCTGGCTCAGTGGTAGCAATGTCGCCTCCGAGTCAGAAGGTTGTGAATTCTTATCCCACTTCGGGACTTGGAATCACATAGTCTAAGTTGACATTCCAATGCGCTGCTGGGGGTTGGGAGTTTGCATTGTTGAAGGTGCTGTCCTTCAGATGAGATATTAAACCAAGGTCCCGGCTGTCTGTTCTGATGAATGTTAAAGATCCCATGACTCTATTTGAAAAGAGAAGAGAGCTTCTTCTGGTGTCCTGGCCAACAATCCCCCAGATAAAATTGGTCACTCACTCCACGGTTATTTGTGGAACATTGCTGTGCACAACTGGTTGCCACGTCTTGCCCACAAAATACGCAGTCAATCCACTTTACAGAATATCCTGTGAAGCGCTTTGAGATGTATCAATGTGTGATAAGGCGCGATATCAAAATCAAAGATTATTATCACCAATGCAGAACCCATTCCTCTCTCGTCTCTTGACTCAGAAGGTTCAGATGAGACGTTAAACTGAGATGTTGCGTTTCCCTCCAGAAACACACAGTCACTGTACTGTAACAGTGAATCCTGTGAAGCGCGTTTGAGATGTTATCCCCTATGCGAAAAGCGCTATATCAGACGACAACCAGCGTGCGCACAGCAGTGTCCACATAACTGTGAAGTGAATGACTAATTTTGTCTGGGGGACACTTGGGGGAAAAAATGTCTATCGATTCAAGCAGTGTCGTGGGATCTGTTAAATCCACCTGAGCAGGCAGACAGAACCTTGATTTCAATTGTTATCTGAAGGATGTTACCTCTGACAGTCCAGCACATCTCCAGCACTGCATTGGAGTGTCAGCTTACATTTGTCAGTTCAAAATCCCCACGTGGGACTTGAACCATAACCTTCTGACTCAGAGGCAAGAGCGCTACCAACTGAGCCAGGCTGACACCTGAAATAAAAATATATGGTGGGGGGAGGAAGGGGTGAGAGGGAAACAAAATGGGAGTGGGAGTAAATACCTTGCCCTTTTAGAGAGAAGCCAGCGTGATGCACTGAATTGCGATGTGTTGTAAAATGATGCATTTGACATTTTACTTTGGATTGCAGGGCAAGAGATGATGATGATAATAATAATAATAATCCTTGCCTTTGATATAGCGCCTGATCATGTCATTGAGATGTGTCAAAGCGCTTCATGGACATCATGTGAAATGTAGTGTATTTCACGGGCGAAATGTGATAGCCAGTTACTCACGAGAATGTCCCACAAACATCCGTGGGGCGATTGTTTTTGTTTTAAAATGTTTTCAATTTTTACACTTTGCACGCTTCCTTCCGCCTTCTTTCCAGGAGACTGCAAAACCCATGGACGAATTCCGAAACAGTCTGCGGAACTCTCCTCCTTCCTGCATACTTCTCACTCCAGATCCCAAAGCAGAACCGAAGCTCAGTGTGGTGGAGCCTCCGGCAACTTCTGTCCCCACTCCTGCCTTGGGTAAGATTGAGAAACAAGAGATTCGAGGGGCCACCTTAGATGGTCTGGGTTTACTTCAAATGTTTGTAGAACACCAACAACAATTTACATTTATATAGCGCCTTTCACTTCGGGAGAACTCTCCAAGGTGCTGAGAATGGAAATTTGAGTAAACCCAAACCTCTATAATGCCCTCTTTGAAACGTCTTCTCTCAAGAAGACTGAAGAGTCCTAATTTGTCTAATTGTTGAACATTCCCCCTTATTTGTTTCCCACAGTGCTGTTTTCGCCGACGGTGGACGACCAGCCCCCTGTGACCGGTAACAAGGAGGGACGAGATCAGCCCAGCAAAGAGAAGCTGTCTCCGCCAGCCAGCCAGCCCTCATGGATGGAACTCGCCAAGAAGAAAGCGAAAGCCTGGAGTGACATGCCTCAGATAATCAAATAGAGCTGCTTAGCCACTGAACCTCCAGTGCTGTCCGCCAAGGGGCGCTCCAAACATTTATTTCAATGAACGAACAAACAATTTATTGAGTCCATGTGTCCATTTATGAGCACGGAAGCTGCAAGCTGGGGACTAGATTGTGTCTGATTGAGGACCGGGAAAGCGGGAGAGATGATTGAGCGGACATTCTGGGCCAAGTCTGAAGCGGGAGGCAACTATACCTGAGCGAAGTTTAAGAAAATTCGAAACTCGTAGTTTTTGGAACCATTTTTGTGGGGAGAGAGGCTTTGAGATAAGAACTGATGCCAACTTTTTCAACCACAAAAAAATAATCGGCATCACCAATCAACCTGGAGTCTGCACAAAACCACATTGATCAGCTCACCCCGAAAAGGAAAGAATGTTCACAAACTCTTGAGTGGCGGGGGTGGGGGGTGGGTGGGGGGGTGGAGAGAGGAGGGAGGGTAAATGGAAGGGGATCATTCATAAATTCTTGAGGTGGGGGCAGCGGGAGAAGAAATCAAATTGAACTGTTTGTTTTTCCAAGCGTTTCCCTGGCTGTGGCTCTCAGCTCAAGTGAACCCCAGTCTATGGGGAGGCAGAGGATGGTCTTACTCTCTGGTCCTTGGCATGTTGATGGGGATTTGCATTGGCGGATCCGAGTAAACCTCTCCTGAGATCCCTGTAAATAGTGTGCAACCTCCTTGCTGAGGGGGGAGATGGGGGGAATGGGGAGGGCGGAAAGAAGAACACTGACTCCTCTGACTGATTCAAACGTCCCTATTCTGATCCCTTGGATCCAAGGCCGATGCCCTTGACCGCTGCCTCTCCACACACTGTGTTGAGCTCAGCCGGTGCCACAAACATTCTCTTCCCATCAGTTCACAGGCCACTTCTGTCAACGCTGCGAGTAAGTGAAGATCTGCTTTCCCCGGACTCCCCCAATGATGGCTGGACTGGTCTGCCATTAGCGGTGCTTTGGAGCACTGCAGACCTGCCTAGCCCAGGAACCAGACAATAATAATAATAATTCTTACATTTGATTTAGCGCCTGATCACGTCGTTGAGACGTCTCAAAGCGCTTCACAGATGTAAAGTTGACTGTGTATTTATGTGGGCAAAGCTCAGGAGCCAATTGAACACAGCAGTGACCTACAAACAGTCGTGGATTGACTACTGAGATCACTACAGACCAGCGATTGAATTCTGATATTCCATTACCAAGGTACGGCATCTTGGAACCACCTCACCTCCAATGAGACCTTGTTTTACCTGAACCCTCTTTTTCTCCTCCTCCTACCTACCCCCCCCACCACCCTTTTAACTGGAGGAAAACCCCGCTCAGCAGCCTGGCAGATTATTACATCTGCCTCTCACTGACCGTAAGCCGATTGGCAGAAGGTTAGAATTCCTGTTGTGAACTCCCAGAGATGGGTAACTAGATTTGCAGAGGAAACCTCTCTGATGGAGTGACTGAAAGTGCAATACACATGGCCTGAAATTCCACCCAGCCTTCGGCTGCCAGACCATCAGCGGTTTTGGGTCATTTTAGAATCGTGCCAAATAGTGGCCAATTCTTAAAAGATTTGGGATTTTTCAGGAGGAGAGTAAAATAAAAATAGCCGCTTCCAATTTAAAGAGGGATTTAGGACTATTGCACAATTCTGTGTGATCTTAAACATTAAGACCAAGTGGTCCTGCAGGCTAAGACCAGGAGAAATTTGGGGCCACTGATGGTGACCATACAGAAACCATGTCACGTTAGTTTCTTGTGCCAGTTTATTACAAGTTTCTTTACGCTCATGTTAAGATGCAGCACTTTCTTGTTTGCTATTAACGTGCTCCTGGGGAGTCAGAGAGAGAGAGAGAGACTCAGACACACACGCATGCATGCGCATGAGATATCTCTAACGTCAGTCCCTTTAGTCAAAAACATTTCCACTTTCCGAGTACAATCCATTCACAAAACTCTTTACATGTCCTGGAATCCCATGTTTTGAATCCGTGTGTGTGTGTTTAAAAAAAATATATATTTGTATAGTTGGTATCGTTTTGCTAATTTTTTGTAATGATTCATCATTCTGTATTATACTGTAGTTCGGAGACAAAAAAACAAATTCATATACAGATTAAAGCTGGGAACTGTGTATCCATTAACTTCCTAAGAGAAATGTGCTGACCATTGATGTATCTGCCCTCTCTTTAGGTTTCACTTGGCGTTTTTTTTAACACCTCTTCCAGTACAATATACATTTATACAGTGCCTCTCCAGTTGGAAGGATGTCATAGAATCCTACAGCACAGAAGGAGGCCATTCGGCCCATCGTGCCTGTACTGGCTCTTTGAAAGAGCTGCCCGATCAGTCTCACTGCCCCGCTCTTTCCCCATAGCCGTGCGATTTTGTTTCTTTGAAGGAGTCATAAAGTGCTTGGCGTCGCTGGATAGACACCTGAGCCAGGTGGGGAGGGGAAAGTTGACTGAAGTACACAGAGGTACATTTTGAGATGTGCCTTGAACCAGGGGAATCCATGCTTAATTTGAATCTGTACAGATTGTATTCCTACTGTGGAGAATAACAGCGGGGTCTATGAAGAGCTTTGTTTTAACGAATCCTACAAGGAGAAATTGTCGGCCACTATTTTCTTGTTTATGATAGTCCATCGCCCTGTCGCCTTTTTAAGTATTTGCAGTCATTTTAATTGCGCTTCATGTTTTCTTCCGATCATTTTGCGGTGTTCACACGTAACAAGAACTTTGGTGGGTTAAACGCTCATCTGCCAAGCCAGTTTCTTGCACTATTGTGGAGGGGGAGAAAGCCCAGTGGAATCAGTCGGTCAGGGGTCTCGGGAGGAACAACTCTGAGACCTTGAGGACGTGCACTTTGTGAAAATAAAAGTGCCAATAGGTGTAGCTCGAGTTAATAAATTGTTGCCTTCTGAGGTAGTTTCATGGCAATCTTCCTAAGATTGCAACGTTTAAACATTTTGTCAGTTCCAGAGCAAACTGTGATCACCAAAACATGGTGAGATCATTGTATAGTGATTTCCCGCTGCCTTACTCATGTTCTGTATCACTTGTTGCCATCTGTATGTTGTCAATGATTTATTTCTGCGTGTGCGTGCGTGTGCGCATGCGGGTGTGTATATATGTGTATATACATGTATATCCTTAGTCATGTATGTACAGCATTCTATTAAATCATATACCATGTTGCACATGTTTACACAGATTGACTTTGTTTTGAGTAATAGAGTAACTGAGTGATGGGTCGAGTTATCTCACTGGTATTTGTTCCTCAAACAGCTGAATGACCAGTTTTATTTGGGGGAGTTGTTGGAGAGGATTCTAGGAGAAACTTTTCTTTCCGATTAGTGCCATGGGATCTTTAACATCCATCTTGACAGGCAGACGGACCTTGGATTAAAATCTTATCCGATGGGGGCAATTCCATCCTCGCAGTGCACCCCCGCTTGATTTGAGAGGCGAGAGGGACACTGCTCTTGACGAGAGGCGAGAGTGCTTCCAACTGTGCCAGGCTGACACTTTTAACTTTGCTGCAAAATATGGATCTCTGAGGAGCGTCCATCAACGCCTAATCCTCAGAGATACATTTCTTGCAGAGAAATTAAAAGTGTCAGCCCGGCTCAGAGCACTCTCACCTCTCGTCAAGAGCAGTGACTCTTTGCATTAGACAAACACAGCCGCTGGTTTGCGATGTCCCACAAACAGGCATGAGGTGAGTGTCCTGTGTATGGGATGATTTGCCAGGGATGGCTGTTGGAGCCGAGTTGTCAAACTAGAATTAGAGAAGCGTGTGTCAGGGAAAGGGTATACAAGAGCGCGGGGAAAGAGCAGAAAAGAGTGGCACTTCCTGCACCCCTACCAAGCCAGCCCTTCCCTTTGCTCACCGAGCATCAACTTGCTTCACATTCCCCGCCCTATCCACCCCACCATCAGCGGTTGGGTTTTTAGCCATTCCACTCAAAAGTTCCTCCAATTCGACCCCTTCCTCCCTTCTTTCAAGGCACGTCTCAATACTTACCTCGTTGACCTCGCTTTCAGTCATCTTTCCTCTCCCCACCCCCTTGGCTTCCACTCCCAGCTTGGGTGCCCATTGTGAGTCCCAATGTGAAAGACGCTCTTTAGAAGTGTAAGTTAAATTGTGGGGTACAATTAGGGCAGATAGCTCCTTGGAGAAACAAATGACTGATGCAATGAAATGGGCCAAATGGCTTCCTCCATACAATGTATGTGTCATACATTTCCATGGTTAATCTGGAAGATAGTTGGCCAGAACACAGGGAGAGAAGAAAACATGGAACAGGGAAAGACCATTTGGCGCATTGAACCCAAACCCTCGCCCACATTCTTTCTGGACATTGTTGTAATCGTCACCCACCCCCCCATACACACACACGCACACGCTCTTCTATTGCAGAAAAGTACTGTTCAGATGTCTTCCTGAATCCCCTTATCAACCTGACCTATATATATCTATATATGTATAATTGACTCAAAGCCTAGAATCGGTGTAAGCAAACAGAGATCATATCACATCCAATTTCATGATATGAACTGTTGATATTGCTAATGTGCACACACACAATAGAAAAGGATTTGTAGTTGGTGTCCCAAAGCGATTAAGTTTATAAACTATGATATATTCTTACAGCCTTACAGCTCTACTTGTCAAACCTGGCCTCCTCCCTATAGACAAAAAACAGTAGAGTTTTTATTCAACTTCAGCCTCAATAAGACCCGTTAAGGTAACTCCATTTTTGCACCTTTGAAGTTTCGATAAGACTTTTGTTAGGTCAGAGTATCAATGGGGATGGAGCAAAGGCGGGTAAATGAAGTTGAGGTATAGATCAGCCACAATCTAATAGAATAGCAGAGTAGGCTTGAGGGGATGAATAGCCTACTCCTGTTCCTATGTTCCACTGATGTGTTGGAGAAGGCTCAGAGAAAAATGACATGTTTCATTTAGTTGCCTGGATATTTTTTATTGTGGAATTGTAGAATTATCAGCAACCATGGTAGAGCACCCCATTAAAAGGAAGCCAGACCAGGAGCTGAGAAGCACATGGGCAGAGAAAAAATTGGGATGGACTGGCTATAGGAGAAATAGGGCAATTTCCTGAGTGCCCCTGAGCTTGGCTCCTGATAGTTACCACCCCAGCGCCCTCCGTCCAGGTGAGTGACAGCTCAGGCCAGTCAATCATCACCCAGGGCCTGCCTTCATGGAGACTGACAGCTATGGTAGCCAATCACTGCCAGGATCTTGCCCTCGGCACCCCATCCATTTTACCAGCAAATCTCGAGCCCTTTCAGGGAGTCAGTTGACTACAGGACACTAAATAAAAAGAACCAAATCTTCCGAAGAAGAGCTGAAT